TACAACACGTCTTTTTCTTTTTAGAGCCTGAAAAATCCCTTGAATTTGCAATCAATTTAAAAACTAATACACGGTTACTGAAACAGCAATGTTCTCAAATTTAATATCAATGTTTTCTTTACACAGAAGGTATGAACACTTATTCATACCCAGCATATACATTCAATTTGTATGGTGCAGCTTATAGAGAGTATGTTTGAGACAAAGGTATGAATCATTTACACATTTAATTTACACAGTACTGGCCATTTGTGACTTTACAATACATTATCTATAAATCTTTAATAAAGGGTGTCATGTTGTTTTATAATCCCGCCTGAATGAGCTTCCATATGTTTTAGAAAGCATTTTGGGCTAAAAGAGGTAAGACGGGGGCGCCGATAGTCCAGTGGTTGGTGCGTGCACCCCATGTACAGAGGCTTTGGTCTTCCAATCAGGCGGCTCGGGTTCAAATCCAACCTATGGCTTCTTTTTACATGTCATTGCCAACTATCTCTCTCCCTGGTTTCTGACTCTATCTGTCCTACCTCTAAAAGTAAAGGCATAAATAGTCCAAAATAACAGAGGTGAGAAATAAGTGTTTATTGACTTCAGTGATAACAGATAACAGTTCAAACAACTGATCATTTTGCATCAGTAGAAATGTGAGAGAAAAGAAAATGAATCAACGAAGGATCAGCACAAAGGGCAGGGGGGTAAACAAAAGGCAAATGGACAATTCAATGTTGCAGTACACTATCAGAAGATTGTATCTTTCTTCTCACACAATAATATTTGATTCTTATACCAGACAGCAACTGTATCCATTCATTTCCTCAAACCGCTAAATACACAACGATTGGGATTGAGAAAGGGAAACGCAATGAAAATATGGCACATTGTTTTCAGAGCGGCAGCATTTGCAATCTATTTGCCAAAGTCCCCAGTTCTCCTTGTTCAAATTTGAATAGTCTTTCTGCCATGATAAACACTGTTCTGCAAGTTAGGCCTTTTATCATCGAACACATGACTTTTGAAATAAATGAAACTTGCACGGCAATCTCAAAAGCGGCTGCCATATAAATAAATGACAACTTAAAGCTCCTATGAGGAGTTTTCAACTAGTTATCAAACACACTGAGATGTATATGTATGCCTCTGCATGTCCTTAAAAAGCAAACAAGACCATGAGGAGCAAGACTGATTATTTCTATATCATCATTTTTAATGCCTGAAAACCATGAGTGCGGGGTAGGTGTCAGACAAAGTGAGAAACTGCATGCTACCTTTCTTCACATTTGCTTTACATTTTACACATTTTTTGTTTAAAACTATTAATTACACATTTACAGCACAAGATCAGCAAATCGATCGAAGAGGTTAAAAAATTGACAAAAACTGACAGTTCCTCAATGAGCTTTAAAATATCATTTAAAAAGCTGTAAGCAACTCAACATTGTTCAGGGTTTTCGTCAGTGAAGCTATTTACCTCTTGACCCATCTGGTACTCCATTTTGCTCCTACTGAATAATATTTACAGATTTTGAATGAGTGTTACAAAATTGACCTAATTTAATCATGCTGTAATTAACCAAACTCGAGGCCACATCTTCTCATCCTTTTCTTTCGGCAATACGCTCAGTCCGTGATGTCCTCTACTGAGACCTTGTATTAAATCACATTTTCACAGTCTTTATCATCACAAGTCAGAGGACACAGCTTACGTTCTGTAAAGCGACTCCATCCATGTACCCTCTTCTGTTCCCGACATAAAGACATGCACAGTTCTCAAAGCAACATTCAATCACCCGTGCACTGCAAATTTGATTTAAGACTGCAATTTCATTAGTGGCACATTTTCCAAAGGACAACAGGGACCCACAGGGACCTACATTTCATCATCATCCATGCCACTCCCTTTTTATTTGCCCTCTTGTCTCCTTTTAAAGTTAACCAACCCTGAAAAACAAACAGACTGTGTACACAAGTAGTATTTTTGAGCAGGCAGACAGGCAGACAGACAGAAATATTGTACAAAACAAGGGAATGGGCCGACGGGGGAGATTGTAAAACTATGACAAAGATGTGCACTGGGAGACATGACAGGAGTGATAAGTAAAAATGAATATGCCTCAGGCAGCTGACTACTGATTAGTTTCTCACTATTATGGCCTCACGTTTTTCCGAGGCATTTTGCTGTGTGGTTGGCCGTTAAACATCACAGTGAGCATATCACTGGTGTTGTTAATGCCTGCAACCTGCTTCCATCGTCGCATAAAATGCAACCCTGCTTCATATTACACCAGCTGTGTCAAAATGACATAAAAAGCATTGATTCTAACCAGGTTTTCAGTATAAAGTGCAATCACACAGAAAATGTGATAAAATCAGGAACAGCTTTAAAGTTGTAGGCATGCTTATAAAATCATCTCAATTTTTGGGGGGTGTTTATGGACTTTGATAACCAAAGAAGTTAGTAACTACAGTTCTACCAAATTAAAACAAACTATATCTGGTTTGAGAAAGCTCTATGGACACAGAAGCAAACAGAAAAACAAACAATGACATACATCTTTTGAAAGGTTGATGCTAGTGTTTTTTTTGGCTTTTTTTAATAAAAAACTAATGAAAGACTTAATCTAATGCTTCCAGTCTGTGTCTTTGTACTTTCTAAAAACTGCACACAGCACTGGAGTTATGCAAATCAGTTAAAACAATATGCTTATTTAAAAACAAATTGCACTCATCCATTATCTAAATCATAAATCATCTTTTTTTGCTTTTTAATTGTTGATACTACTGTGGAGGCAGCTGAATGTACATCGCAGATTACATTGTCGTATTCTGTAGTATAAAATCGCATTGTATCGTATCATACCATATCGTATTGTATGGTCTTGTATTGTATGGTATCATATTGTATCGTATCGTATCGTATCGTATCGTATCGTATCGTATCGTATCGTATCATTTCATATTATAACACATCCTATCCTATTGTCTTTTATACTGCTTATCTCTCATTAGTAGGCAAAGCCAAACCCAGCTGTTATTGGCAAGAGGGGGGATTCATCCCAGACATTTCTCCAGCCAATCACAGAACTCCCACAGACAGACGGACAACCATTCAAACGCACATACAGCACACACCTATGGGCCATTAAAGAGGAAACATTTAACCTACCAAGCATTTCTATGCACATTTGTTGAGCATTTTCCTTAAAGAGAAGACAGTGCTGCTATATAGGCACATCTTACTCAATCAGGGCTCAGTTGTGCAATGTACCATTTTGCAAATGACCTGAACAAAATGCATCAAAATAAGGAACATTACGCTGAGTATATTGTGTCAAGGAGAACGTTTAAAATGAAACATGCCATTGGTCAATTCTTATAAGTTTAGCCATTACTATAATAGAAATTAAAATAAAATGGCATTCAAGGCCACAACTGAAGCCCATAAACCGTTGAGTGACATGTGGTAGTAATGCTGATCTGCCCGTCACCTTTTCTTTTCTTTTTTTTCCCGTTTTTCAGTCCCTTCAGTTATTCTCATTGTGCTTGTGACCTTATCAGTGACATGTCAAAAAATACTGCTGGCCTTAGCTGATGTTCAACAGGAGAACAGTGGGAAGAAAAGAGAGGGGGACAGGAGCAGGGGCGGGAGAATGCTTGTGTAAGCAGTAGCTGTTTCCTCATTAGGGCTGCTGCTTCCACAGCAATGTTTAAAACATGAACCTGCACGGTCATTTAGTGCGTAATTTGACTGAGGTGCGACAGGGGTTGAACAAGGGGGGAGCAGCCAAAGTGGAAGGGTCGTGATCATTAAGATTACATTAACTAACATTAACTAAGCACGGTCTCTGTGGCACCATTTCTCTCTTTCTGGAGGAGGTAATAGCTCTCCTGCCTCCCAAGGTTTTGCATGTTTTCTTTTCTAAAGGCTGCATTCTTTTCCCTTTACCTATCGCTTACCGTTTGAATGCTTTCTCCCCTCTCGCTCTCTCTCTCGTTTCCTCACACACATGCACACACACCTCCGTTTAAGGGAGCACTGTCGGCAGAAATGCCCATGGTTTGCTTCATGCTGATAAAACAGGATTTAATTCCAATCAGGCTTGAAAAGGGAAGAGCTTTTCCATTTCCCAACACTCCTGGAGTCATTCAAACAGGAAACACCTCCACCTTGGCCGCATGCACATTAACATACATGCACATATCAGTGTCACACACAACATTCAGAGCACATGTAAACGTTGTGATATGGCTTGGCAGCCGAGCAGAATTTTGTTTACTGCACCTCAGCTGCTGTCTTTGACATTAATACCATGCTAATGAAGCCCCCCTGACACCCTCTCTCACCTGTCTGTTCCATTTCACAGAGGGTTTTTTTTTTTAAGCCGCCGCCATGTTGCCACTAATATTGCTGCTCACAATGAAAACATGTTGTTCAAGATTAAAAGCATTGTGGTTGCAATGTCAAAAGCCTTTCACGAAAACGCTGTGTACCCTCGCCATTATCCACTCTTTACAAGCACCTCTTCTCTTTTCCTCATCATCCCTCATAACAGTGTGTCAGAGCACAGCCACAAAACTCATCTGGGAGTACTGCATTTCATCTCTTTCTTTTTGCATATCTTTTTTTTCAAAGTATAGGCCATAGGTCTGACAAAGACCATGCAAAGTTCCTCCTCGAATGTCCGAATAACCATTACACTTCTTTTCCAACCACAAAGAATTCCCTGACTCCACATATATTTTCATACTCTACTGTCTGACTCTTCCAATTACTATCTCAACAGTGGGGGAGGTTTTTAGCATATTGCTCTTCTTGGCACTTTTCAGCTTCCTGTTGGACTGGGACAAAGGATAATATTACAGACCCACCTTATGCATCATGATAATAGCTGTAATATAACTGGGAACTCTGTTAAGTACTGTATGTGCACTTTTTTCGAGCCCATCAGCTCAAAGCTTTAAACGGCTCTGGGATTATTTATACTACCGGCTTTGTTTCTTACCTATGGGTGATAGCTCTGCCACACTGCCGATATAGGGACCCTCTAAGAACTTGGGCTCACTGTCGTTGATGTCCTGAACCTTGATGACAAACTCGGACTCTGGTTCAAGAGGGTCGTTGGAGAGCAGCACGCGGGCCTGAGCCCTCAGTGTGTAAAAGGCTTTCTCTTCCCGGTCCAGTCTCTCTGTGGCATGGATGTCTCCCGTTAGCTCATCGATGATGAAGATGGAACCCGCGCCCTCTCCAGAAATCGTGTACTTGATGTTGCCTTCCCCCTCATCGGAGTCTGTATGGATCTGTTGATTGATACAAAAGAAACAATGGTTTATTCATGGCTTTAATTTTAATCCCATGGAATCCTTAACTCCAATAAAATAGATTTAGATCATATTTCTCTTCAACAGCCAAGAAGTTTTGTTAGAAAGCTAAGATAAAATAGCTATGATCAGCAACTTTATGGTCAATTATGTATAAGGCATACAGAGGATCAAAATGTAATTTTCCCAGATCTCAACGTAACAGAAAAACAAAATTACAACAAACAGCGGACACAACGGATGAAAATAGTATAAAAACGTAAAGGAAATGTGCCGAAGCTGCCTGGAATATGTTTTTTACAAACATAATAGGTAAACAAAACAGAAAAAGGTCAAACTATCAAGCACATTCCTGCTCTTGGTCTGTTTTGCCTGAAAACCAGTGAATGAATGTGAGAGACTTGAACATTGAACAAAATTAAGCCTCATTTACACTCTACATCCAATACGCATATCAAACATCAGAGCTCTCTGCTTGTACTCAGTGTTCATTTTGTACGTTTCTCTGCAGGTCTCCTGGAAGCTAACAGTTTCGGAACAAATGTTGCAATACCATCTGATATCCTGGGGGCAGTGTAGCCAACAGTTCAAGCCTGGCCAGCTTAACACAAAGAAAAGTATTCTTTGGAAAATGGCGGCAGTTTTTAAGGAAAGATTGTGCAAGCTGTTTAGCAACTATAAATAAATATACGTATATATATATATACTGTATATGATGTTACCTCGCCAGACAGGCGACAGACAGACAGCTACAACAAAACAGCTGGGCAGAGATCGAAAGCAAAGGAGAAGTGGAGGTCGGTGCAAGACTGCGCCCTCTGGTGGATTCATTTATAACGTCTATTCAATGGGAGCACATGGGCAGTGACGGTTTTACCAATTAAAGTGTATTTTCATAAGGGAAGTTTAAAAAGTGACTTTACTGGTTAAAATGGAAATACCACAGGCAGTAATTTGGATGGAACAAGGAAATGTTTTTCTTTTTGAGAAATTGCAGATGAAAATAATTATACTGCATTTTTAGCATATCAATTATCCAACATTAGCCAACTGGAACAAGACATTCAAGCTGTCCTTAATTTTTTCATGACTATACTTGAAAAACTAAGAGCACTTGATTAGAAAGCTTCTCTGAAAAAAAAAAATGTTAACACTAAAAAGCTAAAAATGTTTGAAAGCACGATACAAGTCAAGTTTTTCTTTCCATAACAAAACCAAATTTGTTGTTTTTTTTAAACCAGAATGCATGTTGCCTTAAATACCTAAAATACTTGAGACCTGGTCTTCAGGTCTTTATTCTAGTGTAGAGGAGTTTAAAGTTATTTTAATTTTATTTTTATGCCTTTATTTAGAGATAGGACAGTAGATTGAGTTAGAAATCATTGTAGAGAGAAAGAGAGAGAAAGAGTGGGGAATGACTTAATTTGGGAAAGTAGCCTCAGGTCGGATTCAAACCCGAGCCGCCCGCTTGGAGGACTATAACCTCCTTACATGGGGAACACAAGTCACCCACTAGTCCACCAGTGTATGGAGTTTAATGTCCTTAAGTGAAAATCATAAATCCTTTATCTACCAAAAGTGTGCTTCATAAAAAAATCATTAGATGCTTTACAAGTGCTGCCTTCTGTAATTTAACCAGATTCAAGTATTGTTTTTTTTTCAGAGAACATTCCAAGGCAAGCTAAGAGGTATTGACTAAAAGATGGGCTCTTTAAAGCTTCCTTCAGTCTAAGCAGACAGGAAAAAAGTGTCTAAACTTCATATCAGGACTTCAGAACATGTGAGCACACCTGAGACAGCTCAGGTCACTAATTAGTATTATTGAGCAGCAGGTAATTAGTGCAGCATATCTAGAATGTGGACATCATGAATTGAGATTCTTCACTCATTTTCCTTTAAGTCACAACCACTGCGAGTACTAATGGTTTGTGTAATTGATAGTTGTCAGAAAATGACACTTGGTCATCAGCTGTGACCAAAATAAATGAGAACAGTTCCCTTATCTTACTCCACAGCAGCATTGGCTTAAGGCCTTCTCAGAGCTCCCCATGGAGCAGCCATCAACATTGTCTGGGGAAAAAAAAAAAGACACCACAGCTCTAGTGATGATTTACACCTTTTCTGCACGCTTGCCCTTCACAGGGTTGTGACGCCCCAAACTAGGAGATCAAAGTCATTTCAAAGATTGTAAAAGGTAGAAACATGGAGGTGGCAGGGCTGAAAAAATGAACTTAAAAGAGCCCTTGTAAATCAGAGCTATAGTTCCCCCCTTATGTGATTAGAAGACATTCCAGAGGCAGCAATAGGAGCAGCATTGGTCCCCCATCCCAACCTCCCCTTTGGCTTTTTAGCGAGCACTAAACCTGCTCTATCTCACTCTCCCTCGCTCACCTACTATCTGAAATTATAATTCAGTGCCGTCTATGCAGTGTAACTGCGGTTCAATCTACTGAGCAGACTGGGGGAGAGGGGAAATCGCCCCGGCCTCCCTGGTTAATATTTTATAAAGGCTTAATTAAATACGGGCTTCTATCACCCTCGCGGGGGTTTTCATTAAGTATTTGTCGTAAAACTGTGGAATAATGCAAGCCCGCTCCTTCATATTGCTTCACTCATCCATTTTTCCCCACTCCCATTTCTATCTACCTGTTTCTACCTCCCCCCTCCCCCCACCGTCCCACCCTGAATCATCCTGAAGACAAATACATGAAGAGTCAGGGAAAATATAGTGCCAGATCCTTTGGAAATATCAATATTTCAGTCATAATAAAATAAGTTTCATTGGTCCAAAGTGTGAGAGTTATCCAATAAAAAATGTGCATAGTCATGCATCACTGGGTTTGTTTCCCCCAGACAATCTCTCTCTGCATTTTCCAAATTAGATTAAACAGACAAGAATGTGTGTGAAATGTTGTCATCATGTGTTAATTCAATTGCACAAATGCTGGCACAATGCATGCAAGAGCCTACCTACTGGACATGTGTGCACCCAGCCACACACCCACCTTCATACCGAGCATGGTTGCAAACAAACCAACACACACACGCACGTACACATCCACACTAAGTGTGTTCATCATTCGGCTGGGATGATGCGATTTCTCCCCCCTCAGGCTGGATATACCCATCCGTCTGTCAGTCTATCCTCACTGGAGTGATTCAAGTTGGCAGCTTGAAAAACACACACACTACGCTTAGCTAAGTCATTCTCTGCAAACTAAAGGTCAGAGCCAGGACGTCACTCCCTTAGCAAAAAATAATAACCAGGAGTGGCAAACGTGCCCTTAACACATTTACACGAGAGGAAGATGGGGGAAAAAAAAAACCTCTCTAAAGCTGCTGAGAAAGAAAATCGTAGCTGCTTCAACGGTTTAGATTTTAGACCATCTTCCTGAGCTCTCTATGGTTTAGATTACTCTGCTGTTTTATCTGCTTGATACAGTAATCATTTTGGCAGGATTTCACAAGAATTTTCTGTGATTGGCGAGGCCGAAAATGCCTGAATTGCATTGCAACCTTGTTTTTTTAGGTTGCAATGCAAGCAGCAATGTTTTCAGCCTTTTTTTTTTTTTACTGTAAAATGCTTCCAACTAAGCCAGCTATTGGCTGTTTGTCTCTGACATCACTTCCAGTCAATTTATGTGTCACTAAATTGTTACTAGAGTATATTGACAATGAGCTGTTTTATTTTACGCTGCGTTGACACATCATGGTTGTATGCATATGCCCAACAGACTACATGCTATTCTTATTACCTTAATGATGTTCGATACCGCTGAAAGTTACTATATATTTAAAAAACTGACCCGAATGTATTCAGGAAAAAGAAGAAATGGTATTTTCCTCCTTGAGAGAGAACAGCAGCTTCAGTCTGCCTGAGTTCAGTATAACAATAGATTGGAGAAGTGATGCGATTATGGTACTTTCTCCCACAGTGAAAATGGGCCACTATTGAAATCAGTTGTTGTAAGAATACAGCTCAAGCTGACTTCACTTGTCCCACTGCAGGATGGGAGTTTATACTGAGATGTGTGTCATTGCATTTAAAAGCAGTAGCACAGGTTTTTTCACAAGTACAGAAAGTTGTATTTGATTCAATTAATCAATCTTTATTTGTATAGCACCAATTCAGACCAAATGTTATCTCAAGACACTTTACAAAAAGAGCAGGTACAAAACCTTTGCTCATACTCCGAAATCTGTCTTTAGAGTTTGAAACCTTTCAGCATGTAATGATATGCATGAAGAATTAACCAAAACATTATCGGAAGGCTTGTTGGGCGTCCTTCCTTTACAGTATGTGTCAGCAAGACCGCCCTTTAGGGGGGATAAAGGGAGCTCTCTGGGGCCCAGTCACATGGGGAGGGCCCACAGAGGTTGGACAAAACATGGTCCATCCTAGTTTTAAGCAACAATGACCACATTTTATTTCACACCTAAATACTCAGGATTTACCACCAATTGGTGATTACCAATACCACCCAAAAAAAACCCATTTCATTTATTGTTGCTTTAGTAAAATGAACCCTCCATCAAAATATAGACCCCCTCTTCTAAAAATGATATGAACCTTTTTTTTTGTAATGTTACCGACGTGACATAAGTGTTATGCCAGTTAGTTCGGAATGAGTATGGTTTTTCCAGGACCTGCACAAGGTTAGGATGCCAAAGAGAAAGAAGAAGAAAAGGAGGGGGCTTGCTTGGGGCATTTGACCCCAACAAGAACTTGTTGACAAGCTTATTTCAGTCAGCTCCAGAGGCTGATTGGAGCCAGTCAGAGGGAGCTAATGTTAGCCAGGAGGTTAGCACTTACACTACTGATCAAATGTGCATACGTTGATACAATTAAATAATTTCCTGGGAGGGTCAATTCAATAAAGCTTTTAGGGGGCCCAGCCATTTCTGCGGGCGGGTGGGCCTGTGCGTCAGTATGCGACCAAGATTGTTTCACTGTGAAGGTTGGAGGAGACTTGCAGGGG